GGGGGGGTAAGCTCAGTTGGTATTGTGCTGGACTACGAGCGGATGACCTTGGTTCGAAACTTCTCAATCTGCCTTGTTTTGGGTGGCCACAAAAAAATTTGACTCCGTACAATCGGAGATTTACGTTAAATTTGGAGGACCCGGATCTTAAGTAACCATACTGTGTTGAAAGGTGTGTTAAACCTATACGATTTTGCTGCTTCACAACTAGAAGTAGCCCATGAGAGGTATGGATTCGACATGGAAATTGTGTGAATTTGAAATGCCTGTCAAAATTGCAATGTCTTCTAACTTAACAAAAGGACCTCCGAATTTACCATCTCATTATTCTCTTGGCAATATCAAGTGTGTTGGCAATATTGTAAACTGCCTAAACAACTGAAATTCAAGACTTACACACCTTGGAAATTCCAGCCAGGTTCATCTGCAATCATTTTTCCCAGCATGACACTGACTAACCTATTTGCGTGATTCTAATAGAGAAGGGGAAAAGCGTACTCGCTTATCTGACACTCCTACTTTGAAGAGAAAACAGACTCAAGAGCTTAAGGACTCTCATAAACGCAACGGACGCAAAAAACAACCATCCCTGACATTTCGAGTTTTTCTCACCAACTGTATTCTATTTCTCCATATATTTCTCACATGCCTGGTCTAAGATATTAGCAAAAGACCTCCCTAAAATATATCTTTTTTAAAAAAGGATAGGCTCATTTTTTTCAAGTTAAATCAGTGATTGGTCACAGAACTACCCAATTCGGTTTCAAATATCCGACATAAAAAAACGCGCTTGTTTATCTTGCACTCCTTCCCTGAAGAAAACGACGATTAGAGTGCTCTCATAGACAGGAATGACGCTACAAGGAAGCCATCTTTAACACTTCTTTTACCCGCTGATTTTTATGTTTTGCATTCTCAACTTCGAGTTCCACCTGCGGAACCGTTCGCGTGGCATCTTTTGAACGAACGCCTTTCACATCCGCTGTAAACTAGGAGGTAAACACAGCTGATTACAGAGATCCGTTTGAACGAGATCCAACTGATATTAGTATATTTTTTAAAGTGGATCGAATGGCTGTCACTATTTTGTAGATTCTCCTACTTTGTCGAATCTCTGATAAAACAAGGGCCCAACCACCCCACCCATATCGCCACACTACACCCCATTTATGACTCCAATCTCCAGCTACCCCACCCCTACCCGTCTTCCATTCCAAACTAAACCCCACCCCTACCCGTCTTCCATTCCAAACTAAACCCCACCCCTACCCTATCAGACCCCCACTACTACCTTCTCTACCACTCGTTCTCACCCTCACCATATCCATCTTCTACCCTCACATCCACCCGTATCCCTCTCCCAAACAAAACGTCACCCCACCAACCCATCATTCATCTTACCCCATCTACCTGTCTCCCACCTAACCCCTATCCCCATCCCCACCCCCAATCCCCCTCCCCCGACACTTTCTCCTTCTCCCACCCCAACACCACCACCCATACCAACTACGAACTTCCTCACAAGCACCTCTTCGCCCTGTAAGCGTAAATAATTTACCCGTCATTTACACGGGTGACAGTACACGTAAATTGTTATTCCCTGACCGGAAACCAGGCTATCTATGTAGCAGGGTACGTCCAGATAGTCAAGGTAGTCTGCGATTTGTACATCACTAACGAGCAGTCTTCCAGTCGGCGGAGAAAATATTAACTCTTTCTGTGCCAAGCACTGATACATTGGTGCTTTTCTTTATACCTTCTGACAAGGTGCTGAACATTTGCAGCACTATAAGGGTTAAAGCACCTTGAGGCGCGCTGACAGAAGGAGTTAAAACACTGCATGTTCTAAGAAGCGTGTGCTCAGAAGACGAAGAAAAAAGAAAAGGGTTTGTACATTCTGTACAAAATCAACCAGAGGACGGAGATAAGGATGAGGATGAGGAGGAGGAGGAAGAGGAGGAGGAGGAGGAGGAGGAGGAGGAGAGAAATTGATCTCAATGAAAAGAAAGTCAATGTTGCTGAGAATTACGAACAAAAAGAAAAAAAGTATCTACCAGACATAAACACATCTTTGCTGATAAATTATATAATAGATTTATCCATTGACATGTGCTATGTCGGCAGTCTTCCGGTGGCATTCACCGATTTTAGAAGAAGACAAAGAAGGGCATAGAAAAGATAACACTTCTACCCAAAACAGTAAGGAATCTGAACAAATGAGAGAGGGAGAGAGGGAGAGAGAGAGAGAGAGAGAGAGAGAGAGGGAGAGAGAGAAGGGGGACGGAGATAAGAGGGGGGAGAGAAAGAACAAATTTCCAAACAGAGAGTGCTGCCGAGCTTAAGAAACAAGTTCACACTGTCACCTCTTACTTTGGTTAACTTGTGTGAAATCAAAGGTCTCGGATCGTCTCCGGCGATGGTGTACAACGATCTTCGCTTTGAATGGTTCCCATAGTCTCTCTTCACTCTGACAGCAGCACAAGTCAAGGAAAAACTGACACAAAAGAAACGTAAAAATCACGGCCTGCTTTGGATCTTTTGTGTACGGAGACATTTTCAGGGCTATAGATTGTGAACAGAGTTAGAGACGCACTTGAGTGGTCTGTTTATGTGTAGATGTCTTTCCTCGTCTTCTCCCAAGACGTCCCGTGTTTAGACACGTGATATCCAATACTGAATGATATAGCAAACAGAGGTCGACCTGTTTAGTTCTTTCACGAGTCCGAGAAATGAAAAGGATAATGCAATTTGATTTATGAACTGAATATATATTACTTCAGACAGATATTATGAAGATGTGTTATTTTTTTCTTATGACGATGTTTTCGCCGTCAAAAACGCACACACAAACAGGAAAAAAGTATCTTCTAAGAAACCCTGGGAGCAAAATGTTCTCACGGCACTATACACAATACTGCACAGACTTCTGAGTGTAAACACAGAATGTTTATCACAGCCTGTGCAACACACTTCAAGCACTCAGCTACCACCACAACATGTTGTAAGAATCTTCTGTAAAGGTTAAAGCTGTTTGGCCTTGTAGTCTGAATCTTTGAGACCTTTCTCTTTATATGCGATTCCAGAAACACGCCAAAAAAACGGCAGGGACGAAAAAAATTACAAAACAAAACCAAGTGAGTCACAGTAGAACGATGACGCGTGGTGATTATTTGTTATTTCCCCCGTTTCTCACTCTCGATGCTGGCCTCGCCAGTATCACCTAACGGTCAAACGGGTCGATAAATCCAAATCGCTGATTTCGGGGCGGCCCGAGTCGTCTTTTATTTGATATTTATCGAGCCCAGCGCATAAACGAGAAGCCGACGACTCCTTCAACTTCTCCGCTTGTTTATGCAGTGGCGAGGACGCTATGGAACCGCCAGGAATCCGTGAAGAGTTGATTAAATTGTTCCCCACACTGCTGGCAAATCGTCGAGGCGTGCGGCTCTCCACGGTCTGTGAACTAGATCGGTGTACACATCTGCACTCGCTGGCTGTGGATTCTCCGTCCCTCGTTCCTTAGCTCTGCCCCGGTGCCTCCAGGACTCTGGAGAGAGGTGTTCGGATTTGCTCTGTTGATTCTGAGGCCAGTCTGAAAAGCAAAAATAATGATACGGTTTTTAATGTTTTTGTAAAAATGGGAGTGTATAATGAGCGTGGATATTTTTAACTCCGAGTTCCGGGTTTAGGTTTTTGAGGGTCGGTATTTTTAAGATATGTGGGTGGAATTTTGTCACAGTTTCTCGGAATCGTATTCATGTATTTGGGTTTATTAGAGGGTTAAGAGCAAACATTAAACCAAAGCGTTGGTGTGTCTCCTTGTGAGAAGAATATATAACGTCTGTGAGTGAATTTGCTGAATGTGCCTGGGTTTGTCTGAGAGAGAGAGAGAGAGAGAGAGAGAGAGAGAGAGAGAGC